TATTCAATGTCAGAAACATTTTTTCAATATTTCGATTTTTCTATCTCAAGTTTTTTTCCCCATTGATATATATGAAGCGCATAACTATTGTTGGATCTTTTAAATGGCAACCGCCATTTCTTGAATAGCTTTCGATGGCTTTTTAGCTATCAGAGTTTGGTTTTCGTCATTAGTTAGAGCAATGCGGAGGATGGGGAGGATATCTATCTATGTATTATTCATTAAGTTCTATGAAGTATTTCAAGGATACTTGTAAGTGAATATCTTTTCCTGTTGTACATTTCTACAAGTTTTCATAGCAACCTATGTTCAAACTTCACCAAAATGTAGCTTGAAGAGTATTGCATTCTCGATATAATTGTTCAATTGTTTCATCCTTAACTTGAAATCATGCTTCTAGAAAATATTCTTGAACTTAATGAGCATTATATAGATAGATGCCATCGCATTACCCTATCTAATGGCGAAAGCTCAACATCGATAGCTAGGAGTCCTCGAAATTCATTCAAAGAATGGTGGTTGGCATTTTAAAAAAATCTGAGAATAGTTTTCGATGCATGTCTCGATAAGAAATTAGACGTGTGAGTGTTCTTGTTTAATATATTAATTCTTTTGAGGTCGATGTTTCATGTTCTTCTGTTGTAAATCAGTACTAGAATTATATGGTGCATTTGTTCTTTCATAGATTCGTCGAAATATGAAGAACCTTTATCATCGAACATGCAATACATGGGCAACAACCTTTATGAAAATGATTTATTCTGTCTGTCGATAGAGAAACCGAAAGATTGGCATTCTATGAGTTTTGCAGAAATGTACGATTTATTCGGTCACAACTTTACAATACCATTGGTGACTAGAGACGACAGATTTGTGTTCAAATCTCATCAAATCGATGAAGAAGGTGCTATGCCTCTTCTCATGTTCAGCAAATATTGGCCCGATAAACAGAACAGCGAAGACAATGCAGGTATCATCGTACTAGCTGCTGAAGCGGAAGCAATGCAGAATGTGAGCAACAGCTGCGATTATGCGATGCTCTTCAGAAAATGGCTCGAAGAAGACGAAGAACTCTACGATGTGAGCTTCATGGACGATTGTCACGAAGTCGACCTAAATGGAGAACGATTTAGCAAGCAAGAAGTAACCGTGACGATAGCTGACGTTGTACCCTATAATCTAACGATATATGGAAAAGTCACGAAAAATGGCTATATTCTTTGGTTCGGATTAATATATTTGGACCATATTGGCAAGAGCGAACTCGACAACATTATGAGCACCGTGAAATTTACAAAACAATGAATATTGTTCTCAAAGAACCTCTTTTGATTATAAATAAAATAGCGTTTTTTTGTATGTTCAAATAAAAACTTGAAAGCTAATAAATAGAATAGATATGGAACTAGAATTTTTGTTTTTTAACTTCAGGCGTATTTCGAACTTGGAAAAAGTCAGTTTTCATCATGAGTAGTTTTATTTAAACAAATCTTCCTACAGAAAAGTCGCCAGAATAGAAAAGTTTAGAGGTTTCGGTAGTTATTATTAAAGTAACTGAGAACTATATGTTCGAAACTACAGAACTATCAGGTGAATCTTGTCAAATACGAATATTTCTATAGGTATAGCATCTGAATATATCTAATGGAACATATAATAATAAGAAGGACAAACTCTATGAAATATTGGAAATTTCAGGGTAGCTTTCAAATTTTTCAGTATTTCATAGAATGAACATTTTTGCTTAAAATATTAATAATTAGATATATTTATGTAATATTTGAAGATAAATTTTGAAAATTTTCTATGATATGTTTTTTTTTGTTTTTCGTCGATTTACAGCTAGAATAAAAGTTTCGAGAGAATAAAAAAAATCCTTTTTTCGAAAATATGAAAATACCTTAAGAAATGGCGATTGTAATTGAAGAAGACGTTGTTTTTTCGAAACTGATCTTTTCTATTGACTGGGGGAGTGCAAGAGAATCGCTCAAAATAAATAAGATCGAGGAGAAAAAGTTTGAATAATAATATGTTGAACGGTAGTATATCGAAATTTCGTAAAATAAACAATAACACTAGATTTCTAATAAAAATCATGGTTCATTGGGACTATTCCAATGCGTGCCACTGACTGATCAATGATACTTATATGGGTCTCAATATAGACCTATGGATGAGCAGGTTCGGCATCGTTCTTAATGTTGATAAGCCTGAATGTGAACCAGCATTTCACTTACACCTGACAACAGCACTCGATACCGATACCCATAGATAAATGACCAAGATTTCAAAATGCGGAAGTTGGTTGGTAGCAATGCTTTAAAATTCTACCATTAGTTGCTTTTAATTTTATACTCATTTTTTCTCTCCGGTTAGAGAAGTAAACCATCGTATTATAGTCGATATCATATATGGGTACTCTTTATTTCTACATTTTTATCATTTCATGTTTCGCTATTTTTCTTTTGGACCAATAAACAATCATTCGTTTTTTTCTTTAGAAACATACAGTTCCAGAAATAATAAGTATTTGGATGTGTAGATATTTTCGTATATTTCAGCTTGCATACTTATTATTTGCATTTTCTATTGAAGTGTTTTGTTTGTAAGCAACATCAAATCTGTGAAAACTTTGGTAGATCAATCAAGAAGAAATATGATTATATAGTCTCGTCATCTGCGATACAGAGAAGACTTTGGATGATGTTCGAACAACAAGAAGTTGAACTACTGAAGTCTACTCAACTGATTAACAGCATTTTTATCACAGGATCACTTTAAAGCTACAGATGATCCATTAACTGAAGTTTCGAATTGTTCAATGAGTACTGAGTAGCATGATTATTCCTTCTCATAGAATAGTCTTCTATATCTTAAAGACCTGATAAGTATTTTCTAATCAAATAGTAATATTGGTCCCTTGTTGAAAGTAGTTAATCTCTTACAAATTATTCATAACATTTCTTTTTGTTCGGATTTTTTTTGTAATTATATTTCTATTTTATTTTTGACGTGGAGACATGCTTTTCAAGTGGACCTTAACAAGCATACAAGGGATGCAATGAGCGGTTGAAAGTTTGAAATAAACGCTCTTTACTTACTCTGTTCGATTTTCGAGATCCGCGCTACCCATTGACTATCGAGGCATCGGAAAGTCTGTCCCATCGAACACTTATTTTCGGGTTCTTGGACGTATTTCGACCACTCGAAGAGGATAAATCTATTGGAAAGAGACTCTTAACTACTCGACGTAATTTCGAACGCTCAAAATTCATCGGAATTGTATGTGCTTGCTAAGAGAGAACTATCGCAAAATTATATTTCTCTTCTAGATATAATTGAAAATATTTGAAACTGTTTCAAAGCTGAATTTTGATAGACTCCTGATTGCTATTCATTGATATTATTACCAAGAAGATCTATTTAGTTTGACACATTTTATTTATTAAAAAAATTAGAAAAAATTTTGGAATTCAAAAAGCTATTTATTTAATTAAAATTCTTCAAAAATTTATTTGACTTTGTTTCAAAATATCATTTTTTTCAATATTTTCTTAAACTAAGATACGAGTTTTAGAAAACATTATCGAAGCTTTGTCTTAACATAAATGGAAAAGATGCTTTTCATAGAAAAAGAATAGTTCATATTTATTTTAGATGTTCCACGGAAGTTTCTTAATCGTAAGTACCCATTTTCAAATCTTTTCTGCTGTAATTATGGGATAGGTGTCGACGCCTCGGAGACGCTACATCTAGCGGACAGTTTTTTTCTCTAATTTTCTTGAATTTCGATTCCTTCGAAAAAATCCTTCAATGGGCATCAGCATTTCAGATCGAGTTTTTGGAGTATCATTTCCCGATGGGTCGATGGCTCGGCCACGGAAAGACTGTTTTTACTTGTATAAACATATCGGAGATTCAGATCGACACCTCAAAATACCCATCTGCGGACAGCTTGGGATACTGGTATTTTCATCTATTAACTTAACATTACTTTTCCTCTTCTGATGCTTACTCGTTTCCAAGAATTTCATAACAGATTATGTGGACGATTCAAATCAATAAGAATTTTGCTCAACGTTATCATTTGCTATCATCGATTCAGACCGAAAAAACAAGGAAGCACCAGTCATTCTTTCGTCAATTTGTTATTTTCCGAAGTCATCCTGGGGAATATTTCTAGAACGAACATTACGAATTTTATGATCACCATTTTTGTTTCACATTTTCAATTTACCTTGAAGAATTGTTTCAAAGTAATTGCGAATATGATTCTTATGGATTTTAATCATGTGTCCACATGTTTCGAATAGTTAACTCTGATCTTTTCAAGATATTCGAATTTAGAAGAGTGTGGTGTGTGGTTGAACTGGAGGCTCACACTCACACCCACATCCCATATTCGAATCATTTTTTTATACTGTAATGCTATGAGTCACTTGTTTACCGTACTTTTTTTCACTTCACTTTGGCTTTTGTCGTTATTTTAAAATACATATAACGAAACGAGAAAAGCTGAGATTCAAAACATCTGTGTTTTCCATTTCTGTTAGTTACTTTTAACATTGATATTTGTTCAAGATATTATTTTCTTGTTCCAATTCTACCATAAACAATGTAAAAGAATAAAAACAGAAAAGACTAAAGAAATGTGAAAGAAGACAAGAAGAATCGAACGCATCTGATTGTATGCTCATTATACTTTTTCTATTGACTCATAATGCATTCAAAGCAAATTTCACCATTGATAATCTATTCTTAAAGCAAAAACTAAAATTGAAATGAATCAAGAAGAATGAAATTGAAAGCAATTATCATGAAATGAAAAATAGGGTGTGATGTTGATGTGTGTCGGATGTACGTGTGGATCTTCTCTTAAACGAAGTCCATACCCACACTCTAATCATATATTAATATCTTTTTATCTATTATAAATATTTCTGCTCAATAGTTTTGTTTTCGAATCTCAAATATTTAGAACTTCAATAAATTTGATGTTCTTAATGAATAATATTATTCAAAATGAATGTTAACCATTTCATAATATAATAGTTATCACCAGATAGAAAATTCAAGTGAGAATTTTTAATTGATTCATTTTCTTGAGCATTCGAATTTGCCTGTTTAAACGAATTATATAAGAAGAATTCTCCAATTGATTTAATAAAATCATTTTGTTTTGATTGTAACATTAGTTGATTTTTCCATTCATCATCAGAAATAGATTCAATCTTAATACCACATTTACAAATACATTTAACAATATCTTCAAATGGTATTTCCTCATTTTTATTAACAATATAATAAATATTTCCGTAAGTATCGGGTTGAATTTTATCCGAAGAAATGATTGCTTGAGCAGCTAAATCGACAGGTAATTGATTCAACTTCGTTTTAACTATTTTCAATGGATAATAACCTATCTTCATAATTGTACTAATGAATAATGTGTTTAGATCATGTTTGTTACAAGCTCCAGTTTGAGTATTAGAACCAATAGATCCTAAACGATAGATATTAACTGGTATACCCATATGAGCTGCCTTTGCCATGAGTGTCTCTGAAACCCATTTACTTTGTGTATAACCATTATTCAAATGATCTGGACGAATATTGTCAATAGATATGTCATGTTTCATTCCATGTGGTAATAGACTCATTGTCGATATATATTTTATTGGTATGAATGTCGAAGGATGACCAGCAAAACGAATGATTTCTCTAGTACCATTAACATTGGTATCGTAGAGTGCTTTATATGGTAATACAAAATTGACGATAGCAGCACAATGAATAATAATATCTGTCTTATTAGCGAGATCTTCATATGATGCATCATCAAATCCAAAATGATATTTAGTGAGATCGCCTCGTAAAGCAATAATTTGTTCTCGGAAATCATCGTTCCATATTTGAAGAAACATCATATTTTCACGAATACGATCTAATGGATTTATGAAAGTTTGACATCGAACAAGACATAGAAATTTACAAGTCAAAGGATAAACTTTTAACATTTGAGAAAGGAGAAAAGCTCCAACAAATCCAGTTGTTCCAGTGATAAAAATTATTGAAGGAGAACGATTTATATCTTTATGTGTTTTAATTTTGATATTCAAATCAAGTTGACAATCATTTAATATTTGTGATTTAATCGATTCTGACCAAGAACATATTTGCATAGGATCTTGAACAATATTGACTAGTTTCTGTAAATTCATATTAGGTTCAAATAGAATATTTAATGGTATTGATACACCCAAATCATTGTCTATCATATGAGATAGACGCAAACCTGTTAATGAATCTATACCTGTTGTTAAAAATAATTGATCATCATCATTCAATGATAATTCTTGTCCAATTGCTTTTTCGAGAATATTTTTCAATTGATTATGAATAGAATTATTCTCTTTTAATCGATGAGCATAATGTGCAAATAATTTAGGACGACATAGCTTCATTGATAATGTTAAAAGACCATTTTCACTTGTAAATGGTTCGAAATCAATGATTAATTTTGATGGAATTTCATGCATTCGAAGCGATTCTTTCGTAGCTATTGAATGCAAATCATTCATAATAGTATCATAAAATAAATTGTCTGGATGATTGAAATCAATTTGTTTAATATTATGTTTTATAAGAAAACTTTCAAAATATTCTTTATTAGGTACAATAACTGCTTTGACACTATTGTCTAGACCATCACCATAAATATAGATTTGTTCAACAAATAAACTTTGTAAATAAATACTTTCGAGAAATTCGGCTGACACAAATTGTCCTTGTGCAAGTTTGAAAAAATTTTTTCTACGATCAATAATATGTATATTAGGTGTTTTGTCATCATTCAAACGTAATTCAACAATATCACCCGTACGAAAGTATCCATCCTCAGTCAGCGCTAATTTTGTTTCTTCAGAATTATTTACATATCCCGAAAACATTTGTGCTGTTTTAATAACAAGTTCACCTCTCTGAAACGGCTTATCATTAATTGTATAACCGATATCTATTGCTGATTCTAGACGATAATCAATAATTGTTTTAAGAAACTTGTAATTGAAAGTTATTCGACCACATTCTGTCGTTCCGTAAGCTTCAACTATTTTGCAATGTCGAAAACATAGTTTCATAAAATTTAATACGAATGGGCTAACCATGGCACCACCAATCGAAATAACTCGACATCGTTGAGGAATTAATTTTGAAAAATATTCTAGAAGAGTTTCTTCATCTTTTTCATTTCTTAATGTAAGAGTTCTTTGAAATTCCGAATAGATCTTATTCCAAAAAGTAGGTGGTGCTGAGAAACTTGTAGGTGCGACCAAAGCAAGTTCTTCCATAAGTCGAGTGACGTCGCCCGTTGAGAATCCTGTCGAGCCACCTTCGAGAAATGCTGCTATTGTAGCTTTACGATCAGTTATCCATGCTAATGGTCGATAACTAAATTTGACATTTTGTTCATTTCGAGACAAAGTTCGTTGTGGAAAAGTAATTCGAAAGACATTTTCAGATATGATTGCTCCTTTTGGAAATGCTGAACTTCCACTCGTATAAACTATAGTAATACAATCATCGGGATCATTAATAATATATTCTTTTCGATTGTTGCTGCCAAATTTTTCGATTTCATCCATGGAATGAATCGACAAACCATTTTCTTCTAGAATGGAATTTATGCATTAGTGTTATACTTATAAATCTAACTTAGAATAATTTATGAACGATTTAAACATTGAATTTGAAGTAGTATTTAAAATAAAATCAAAAGTTATTAAATTAAAAAAAGAATTCTTTTCGATTCATCTTTCTAATGTTCAAAGAAAAACAGTTTATTTAAATCAATTTATTTTATCATGCATTGTACTACTAGAAATCCATTGAGAAAAAAAACAAATATTCCTATTAATTCCTAATATGAATATAAAGCACAAGTACATACATACATTAAAATCAAAGTCTTTCACAAATCTATGAAATATAGTTAACACGATGGAGAAGTCACAAAACTTGACGAATTGAGAAAAAAATTTCTTCTTCAAATTAATTTAGTCGAAATATTGAAAAAAACAATAATGACTTACCAGAATTTATCTCAGAGATAGAATCCATACATATTATATGACGTACTGTTGAACATTTTGAATGTAATCGAATTAATCTTTGTAATATATGTTTATCACAAACAACAACCGATATATTTGTATGATTAATTATAAAAGTCATATCATGATCGTTTAACTGACAATAAATTGGTACACTGATTATACCTTGCAAAATACAGGCTAAATCAGTTATTAACCATTCAGGTCCATTCGCTGCACAAATAGCTAAATGACAACGTGCTTTTATAAAACGTTCTAATCCATAACTAAAGTTCTTTATTCGTTCACCGATTACTTTGAATGTTTGCCAAATGTAAAAATTTGTATCACTAGTAGTTGAATTATCATTAGAAAAATTTCTTACGCCAAAACATGAGCGATCAGAATAAAAATAAATAGCTGAGAGAATTCGACTTGCCATATCAGGTCGAGTACAGATTTTTTCTATTCCATAATCAAGAGAGAATTTACGAACTAAACTATGAGAATGTGACGATGTTTGTGTTATCGTTTTACACATTTCGCAAACATTGTAATCAAGACAAATTGGACAATTGAACCAAGATTCGCCTTGATTAAATATACGATGACAAATAATACAATATCTAACAGTTGAATCGATTGAAACATTTATATCTTTATTCATCTAATTAACAAAACAACAAGACAAAATTATTAATAAATAATGAACATATGTTTATTTAAGCTGCTCGAATTAGGTTAGATTTCTTCGTTCATCGAAGAAAAACAAATGTCGAATGACTTTTTTCCTCTTACTTTTTAACATAAATAGTTCATAGGTCCGATACATTTTTAACAGAACAAGATATAATAAAATTAATAAAAATTTGTGATGTTTTCATCTTGCTATTAACTAAACAATAAATAAAGAGGTGAAATGTTTGATCATCACATTTAATTTAAATATCATTGTGAATTTTTAAATCAAAACTTTCATTCAATATCGAATAATAAATATTCCATTAAAACGATTAATAGTTCACGTAAAGATCTTTGCTATTAATCTATCTAATTGAAAGTTATCAATTGTGACGATCGAAAGGAAAAAAACCAATCAATATGATTATAGCAATTTGGACTATCATAAGGATATTGCATAATACACATGCTTTATCGAAAGTGAACTAGATTTTCAAATTAATAATCATCAACTATAATTCGTTTCATTAAAAACATATAGTGACCTGGGGTAATTCGGATCACTTAATCAAAAAAATGAGTGTATTTTGGTCGTTTTTCAACCATTTTACATCAGAAAAAAAAGATTTTTTTATTGTCAGATAGCCCCAAGTGTTCTCTATTGAGTCATGTAAAAAATTTTGAAAAAAGTCAATGTTTTGAGTAAGTTTTTAAAAAACTACTGAAAGCCCTAAAAAAGTGATCCGAATTACCCCAGTTGGGGTAATTCGGATCAGTAAGCTATTGTANAGAACTCGATGAGCTCTATCGAATGGACACCCTTTTGATGCGATTCCACCTTTGGGTTCCTTCTTAACGTGCAAATCCAAGTCAGAATCTGGGTTTTTCAGGTATATCGCACCTGGATTCGCCCACAGTTGGGACCAAAACTATACTGTACGAACCAAGATAGACCTCGTCGAGCTCTATCGAACGGACACCCTTTTGATCCGATTCCACCTTTGGACCCCTCCTAAAGGGCAAATCCAGATCAGAATCCGGATATCTCAGGTATTTCGCAACTGGATTCACCTGTAGGTTACACCACCATTTACAAATGGTGTACGAGGATAGAACTCATCCCGCTCTATCTTTCGTTCATTTTTTCCTATTGGTGGAGTAATACGCTCCAATGAATGTTTCCCCTTTTTCTCGATCGATCTTTAAACTTACCAATTGGGAACACGGTTGACAAAAAAAAAATATTTCTTATTGTTCTGTCTCGTTCTAATTGGCTCGTATTCACGAGTAAATTCTTTTCCTTTTCATCAGCATTAATGTGCACAAGATGAAAATGTTGAAACATTTATGAAAAAGTGTCGCTATTATCCTTTCTGTTGTGACAGTTAAGAATCAAAGTGCCGTAGACCACAAGAAAAAATCTGCAATACGTTTCTCAAACTTTAGAGAGGGTAAAAGACTCCAGTTTCGCAGCTCGGCTGCAGGAAGAAAAAATTTATTTCTATTTTTTGGTTTTATCCATGTTGCATCGTATCATCATGACTTGGATTCGCCTTTTCGGAGGGGATCCAGATGTAGAGTTGGTTCGAAATGGTGTCCATTCGATAGAGCGCGACGAGATCTATCTTGGTCCGTATAGTATAGTTTTTGTCCCAACTGTGGGCGAATCCAGGTGCGATATTCCTGAAAAATCCAGATTCTAACCTGGATTTGCCCTTTAGGAGGGCATTCAAAGGTGGAATTGAGTCGAAAGGGTGTTCATCCGATAGAGCTTGATGAGATCTATCTTGGTCCAAACAGTATAGTTTATGGTCCCAACTGTGGGTGAATCCAGGTGCGATATACCTGAAAAACCCAGATTCTGACTTGGATTTGCACGTTAAGAAGGAACCCAAAGGTGGAATCGCATCAAAAGGGTGTCCATTCGATAGAGCTCATCGAGTTCTATCGGTCTATATCATTTTCAGCCGTTGATCTCACGTGGAAACGAAAATCGGACAAGGTTTACCGGAAAAACCTGGTTTTCTAGATATATTAGGGTTTTGGGGGGCAATGAAAGTACTTTGAAAGCCTAAACAGAGAAGCATTGAATAGAACTCATCAAGTTCTATCTTTCGGCATAGTTTTCAAGCTTTAGTCCCAGCTCGGGACGAATCGCGGTGCGGCTTACATAGAAGATCTAATTTTTTGCTTGTTTTTTCAATGTTTTTTCGGTTTTTGCCCCCCTTGGAATGGAATTTGAGAACAAGTAAATAGTCATTCGATAGAGCTCGTCGAGTTCTATCTTGGTCCGTAGAGTTTAGGTTTTGGTTCCAACTGTGGGCGAATCCAGTTGCGAAATACTCGAATCCAGGCCGGAAATATCTTACGTGTCCAAATGTCTGTCCTTGAACAGGTTCTCGCAGGACCCTAATAGAAACTTGGCGAGATCATTGAATTGAGGATTTTTACTAATCTTGCTGATGTCTAGTAATATCCTTCTCTGCTATAATATGACCCGTGAGAGAATGCATTTATAAGGATCCAGAACAGAACCTGATTCAAATCCAAAGAAATCTTGATGAAATCCTCCGTATGATTTTTGTCTAATTCCTGAATAGGATCGAAAGTGAATCCTGATAAGATCTTCTAATATCGATAAAAACAAATCCGCCCAAGAACTTGAACCTTTTCTGGATAACATCCTGAGTCGAACTTGGCAGGATCCTTAAGGTTTATGATTCTTAAAGATCCTTCGAGATTGTCTCAAGAAATAGACACGATTGAAGAAACTGAGGACTGTACTGTGAAGATCTTTGCTAAATCCTCATATTTTCTTATCAAGATTCTGATTAAAACTGGTACTGTCCTGCACAACGGAGAAACGTATTTGCTTGACAGACTCTGAATAAGATCCTGATTGAAACTTTGCAGGATTGTTTGGCTTCGTACGCTGACTAATCTTATTATTTTCTTGCCAAAAGCCTCGTCTGGTGTGAAGATCAGTTCTGACAGGATCCTAATACAAAGATTTGCTCTAGATCCTGACAAAAACTTGATAAGATCTTGCCAGAATCCTCTCTCACAATCTCGAGAGACTCATTGATAGGATCTTGAGTGAATCCTAGTAGGATTCTGTGTTTTCGTTCAGAAAAAACCTGAGCAGAAATCTGAAGAAATCCTGAACAGGATCCTATTTCACTGTAAAAGAAAGGATTTGTACCGAAGTCTCAAAAAGGTTTCGTAGGTGTCTAAAAGCATCCAAATGCGCCCAAAAGCTTAACTCATTTTTGTGAAAATCTACGAAACCTTACAGAAATCTGAGTGCGGGTACAGCCTCCAGCTTATCTCCTACGAAAAGTTTTTAAAGTTTCGTACAGCAAGAAAGGCTTCGTGAGAAAATACGAAACGTTTGTCGTTTCCTAGTAAACCTTATGATTTTGTTTAAAATCATAGTGCGAAAGCATAGGATTTGGTAAGAAACTAAAAACGTTTCGTATTTTCTTACGAAACCTTTTTTCGCTGTACGGAACTTAAAAAAGGTTTCGTAGGAGATTGTTCGGAGGCTGTAACCGCACTCCGATCCTTTTAAGCTTTTGTAGATTTTAACAACCATTTATTTAAGCGTTTGGACACATTTGGAAGCTTTTATACAAGTACGAAACCTTTTTGGAGGGTTTGGCACAAATCTATTCTTTTAATAGTGTCCACCTTGAAAAATCCTGGAAACGGATTTTATGAGGATTTCAAACAGGATCATAAATAAAACTTGATAGGAGCTTTGATATTCAGGATCCTGAAAGATCCTTCTGGGGTTTCTCTAGGAGTGAGCAGAATTGAGAGTAGAGTGACTGGAAAATTTCTGAACTGAATCATTTTTTAAAAGCTGCTAGTCCAATCCCTAGAGCGATTAACAGTGTGAAATACGATGGACCTATTGTTACAAATTAAATGAACAACGTTTTCTTCCATTTGTTTACAATGCATTTGTAGCCGACCGTTTATTTGACGCTTCAAATTTACGATTTCTCGGGCACGGACTGTGATGGGTTTCGAGGTTGTCTGTCACGGTCTATGATGAGTATTAGCATTTCTCTGTTACAGCCCATGATGGGCACCAGAACTTCTCTGTCACGATCTGTGATGGGTATTTGGTTTCTCAGTCACGGTTCGTGATGGGTATTGAAGTTTCTCTGTCACAATCAGTAAGGAGCGGGGGGAGGAGGAGGTGCAAATTTCTGCCCCTAAACACTTTACCACTCCTTTCAGATCGTGTTTCACAAAACCTGACAATTTATTGAGTCTATGCTGAAAAGTTAAATTTCCCTGAAAAAGAAATGTTTGGTTATACCATTTTGTGTTGCCAATACTTGTTTACAAAATTCGTCATAAATATTTTGTTGACCAGGCTGTATTACGAATCTCACCACAAGAGGTAGATTTCTGATTGTCAATTGGTTTTTCATTTCTTTCACCATTGTATTGACGATAATATCCACAGAACACCCATGTTGCCCACATCCAAGAGCTGGAAATGCAAGTGACTTGAACTTATATGATATCACATATTGTATAACAATTCCAATCAGATCAACAAGCGATTGTTGAAGTATTTTCTTATTTTTGTCTGGTTGCCATTTGACAAAAAAAATTTGCTTGCAAGGTAAGGCACCTGATGGTGTTGGAATTAATACAGAATTCGGATTGTTTTTGTGCTGAATATTATATGAAGTCCATACTTCATTGCCAGCTACCTGTATAATTGCCTTCTTTAAAATTTCCGATGATGAACTTCCAATAATAGCATCTACCTATCAAAAACAAAAATTGTATAGTTTGTTTTTAACATGAAAAGAAATTTCTATGCATACTTTTTCTGCTGTTATATCACCTGACATGACTTGAATTGTTCCCTTATTAACACGTACACATATTACTGGCCCGGGTGCATTCAGTGATGTTGCTAATGAGTGCTTTTGAGCAGCCGATCGAGGTCGCTGTGCTGGGAATGAGTGTTGTTGTACTGAGAGCCGAGGTCCTTCTGGTGATAATGACGTGTCTCGTGTTAGTGAACGCGAGCGTTGTCGCCATGAGGATCGAGGTCGCTGCTGTGCTAAGAAAGCGTTTTCTTGCACTTTGAGTCGAGGTCCTTGTGGTGATAATGACGTGTCTCGCGTTAGTGAGCGCGAGCTTTTTCTCCTTGAGGATCGAGGTCGCTGCACTCTAAAAAAAATTGGTTTTCTACTGAACCCACAAAAAAGGTTCGGCAGTTTAGAAATAGTGTCCAAATGGCTCAAAATGTTAAAAAAATGATTATTCAATTCTGCGAAACCTTTAAAGGTTCTTCCCCTTGGTACACGGGCCAAACCTTCTACTACGAAACCTTTTTTTAAGTTCCGTAGGGCAAAAAATGGTTCCGTAAGAAAACACGAAACCCGTAGAGCTTCGTATTAAACCTCAGTGGTTTCGTACTAAACCTGAATGGTTTGAGAATTTCTTCTACGAAACTCTATGGGTTTCGTGTTTTCTTACGGAACCATTTTTTGCACTACGGAACTTAAAAAAAGGTTTCGTAGTAGAAGGTTCGGCCCGTGTATCAAGGGGAAGAACCTTTAAAGGTTTCGCAGAATTGAATAATCGTTTTTTTAACATTTTGAGCCATTTGGACACTATTTCTAAACTGCCGAACCTTTTTTGAGGGTTCAGTAGAAAACCAATTTTTTTTACAGTGTGCTGTGCTAAGAAAGCGTTTTCTTGCACTTTGAGTCGAGGTCCTTGTGGTGATAATGACGTCTGTCGTGTTAGTGAGGGCCAACGTTGCCGTGATGAAGAACGAGGTCGTCGCTGTACTGAGAAAGAGTCTTCTTTTACTGAGAACGGATATTCTCGTGGTGATAATGAGCGCTCTCGTGTGAGTGAGGGCCAGCGTTGCCGTAATGAAGATCGAGGTCTCTGCTTCTCTGAGAAAGAGTCTTCTTTTATTAAGAACCGAGGTCCTTCTGGTGATAATGAGCAGTCTTCTAATGATGAGGATCGAGATTGTTGCTGTGCTGAGAACGAGTGCTTTCGTGATGAGGAGGAGCATCCTTGTCTTGATTGTTTAACTGAATTTTGTGATGAAGAGGGAGGTGATGATTTTAGTGGTAGTGATGGTTTTAACGTATCGATTTGCTTTTGAAACTCGTCGTAAATATCTGTCATTTTCGTCTCTATGATAAAAGAAACCGAAATTGAGGATTTCTGTAACTTCCGATACGCTTCTTGAACCATCGCTTCAGCGACAAGACTAATTGGACATTTAAAACTGCCGCAACCAATAGCAGGGAACGCAATGCTTTTGTAATTGTCACTCGTCGCTCTTTCTATCGCATCAGAAACAAATTTTTCAATAGATTGGCGGAGAAGAGATGCATCGGAATTTGTTTTCCATGGAAGAAAGTAAACCTTTTTTGATTTGAGCTTTCCTTCAGCTTTCACAGCAATGACGGAAAAATTTGGGTTCTTTTTCGACTCTAAATCGAAAGAAGTTTTGATAGAACTTCCACCAGCTTCACAAATAGCTTTAAATAAATATGCTGAAGAAGAACATACAACAATAACATCTGTCTAAAAGCGTGAGAAAATTGGTTCACTACAGATAGATATCTTCATTAAGTATCTTACTTTTTGCATTATCAGATCACCTTTGTGAACATTAATTGATGAATTTGCACCCTGCAATAGAAAGCAGTTTCTCTGAATTATTTTTATGCACAATGAGAATGAACCTGAAAATTCAACTAAGTCAGCTATGAGACGGTTAACTTGTTGTATTTGTAAATGGTCTCCGATACTATGCTATTTCTGATGGATATGATTAACGAGGGAACCTCTTGAGGTGCTAAAAAGCTTTTCGACCGGGGATGTGATGGTTAGATAGGGCATAGCTAGTAGTGAAATACTCTAATTTGGTTCGTGCACAAGTTGCTTCTAGCAAGAGTTATGCATCTTACAAGTTATAAGCACAATTGCTAATTTTGCTGGATCTTAGTTTTCTCGAACGAGAAAAAAACGTATTATAGTAATATTCTTACTTTGTCTGTTGCAAGTAGTCGTCTTGATCATTTCGAACATTTAATCCAAAATGATAAGGACGTAAAAAGAAAAAAAAATTATAAAATTTTCTTGCTAATGTTATAACTTCTTCTGTTTTACTACTTGATGATTAATGGTTTATTTTAGCAGATATGTTCAGTCTGTTTTTCAGTTGCGACACTATTTATTGCAAAAATTGGAACTCATCCCCTTTTCTTTTCATTAATCTGACGAATACAATTTTATAAATAAACATTAACCTTTTTTTTTCTTGTATCTGTACATGAATATCATTAAAATAAACGAGGAGAGAATGTAAAAAAGACTTTATTACATTTATCAGCTATTCCTGTTTTTGTGGTATATCTCTGATGGTGAAAGGAATATGAGAAAAAGAAAAAAATCGCACAAGAATGTAAAAAAGAATCATCACGCAGTTATCGTAATCGAAAGAATAGAAGATGGCTGAAGTGCACCGAATAACGCAATTGCTCCGCGAACGAGCATCAAAGAACCTTCCAGCTCAATCAACACTTACTGCATTACAAGAGGAGGAGCTTGCTGATCAACTATTCAATGTATTTGAGTCAATATGGACAAGTACTACGTATAATGAAGAAGACGAAACGACTCTAGATAATAACACATCAGACAATGAAATAGATGACTGCAAAGATGATTCTGATGAACGATCTGACGATCCAGATTATAAAGAAGATGATGAAAAACCGGTGTTTGAATCATTTACTATGTCGTACATGACACGAGCACTTGATTACTATCATGAAATTAATCCCAAAACTGGAAAAAGATCGCACTCCTGGAAGAGCATCCAATACAAATTTAGAAGAATTACTCACCAGTCATATATGGCTCGTTTTCGAGATTATGTTGAACAAAAAGGAATAAAGAAACAAAAAATTGATATATTAGCTGATCACGTTTACAATAACTTCGAAAGAGCTCGAGATCTTTTGTGTCCAGTCCATGATATGGATTTGAAAAGATGGGGTATACGAGAATCCAGATCAATGTCATTTCATAATTTTGTGGCATCAGATACTTGGCTTTTAAATTTTAAACACAAGTATAATATTTGTTCAAGAAAAATTATTAAAGTAAGAAAATTTTCAATAGCATGTAGGCAGAAGCTTAGAATAAATAGTAATATATAAATATTTTTTTATTAGGTTGTTACGAAACGTGAACTAATTAATGAAGATGATATTCGAAGCTCAGCGGAAGAATTTATTAATGAAGTAAAATTATTGTTGCCTTACTATAATGAAGATTTTGTACTGAATACGGATCAGTCAGGATTTGAGCTCGAGATTCCTCCAACCCGAACTCTTTCTTATCGCGGCGAGAAGACGACACTTGCCACAGTACGTTCGATAAATGCAACGACTCACAGCTATACTATTCAACCAATAATAAGCATGAGTGGCAAGTTAGTTGGTCCTGTCTTTTTATGTCTGAAAGAGAGCAGTGGTCGGATGAGCGCCAACATTAGAGCAAATCTTCCACAGGTACAAAATGTTATTGTAACATGTAGTGCATCCGGTAAATTAACAACATCACTAGTTGAATACTGGCGTGATAACTGTTTCATTTCTTCTTTGCATTCACGCAAGACGTTACTTCTTTCGGATAGTTGGTCTGGACAATCAGACAGCAAAGGTATTTATGAGCCAGTAAAAGGGTGCAAGCGGCTAGAGATTTCTTGGAAAACGACTTCCAAAATTCAGCCTCTTGGCGTGTTCTTCAATAGGCAGTGGAAAGTCATCGCGCGTAAGATTTACGAACGGGTTCTTCTTGACGAAATAGATATTCATCTTGCGCAGAGAAACAATATTATTCGTATGCAATCTCTGATTCATAATCAGGTTTCTGCTCCCATCTTCATACCTATGATACGCTATGCATGGTTTAAGAGTGGCTATACTAATGTTGATCCTCGACCTTTTCAAACAGTTACGGAAGTGTGTTTCAAATTTAAACAAGATTACTGCAATATAGCTACATGTGAGTAATACGCCTTCATACGATGTAGCTATTGCAGTCAAATATTATGTTTCGAAGACTTTTTTGTTAATTATCATACTCATGGGATCTGATTTATATAAACAAACGTTGTTTTTATGATTTTTTTTGAGCATTTTGTTTTTTAATGATATTCACGCATATATACAAGAAAAAAACAGAAGAAGTTATAACATTATAAAGAAAATTTTATGATTTTTTTTTCTTTTTACGTCCTTATCATTTTGGATTAAATGTTCGAAATGATCAAGACGACTACTTGCAACAGACAAAGTAAGAATATTACTATAATACGTTTTTTTCTCGTTCGAGAAGACTAAGATCCAGCAAAATTAGCAAT